GACCTGTGTGTGTTATCCTGACAACTTGGGCTGTCTGTACGAGGCCTGATTGTATGTTTTATTGGACTAGGGACAAATGATATGTAGTCATCATGAAATTTTAATTTTGTAATTTTATAAATGTAATGTTTTTATATCTTGGATTTGTTATATAGGTATAAGATATTCTGTTACTTTTTATGAAAACTTTTATCTTAAATTTTAATCAATGATAAATTTGAATGTATTATGCTAGAGACAAGTTGTATTATGATGTAAACATGCATTGTCTTATTTTATNCCCTTTTGGAATCCATACTGCTCTGAAAGCAATATTTTATGTTTTACGATATGATCATTGAGTCTTCTAAAAATTGCTGTTTCAAAAACTTTTGCAAACCCAGTTATTATAGATACTGGCCTGTAGTTACTTATAACAGCTTTTTCCCATTTTTTGTATACAGGCTTAATAATTGCATATTTTAATCTTTCTGGATACAGACCCATGGTTAATCACGTATTAATTACATAAGTTAGAGGTTTACTAATTTATCTGCACAGTTTTATAATTTTATTTATTATATCATCATACCCTGAAGAGTTCTTTGCTAATTATACTAATTATTTCCTCTTCTGCAACTAAATTAAGATTCATATCTGCAATACCATTTGGGAAATGGGAATGCAAGTATGACATTGCAGTATAAACATTAGTTTTCTTAATATTAAGATTTTCTGTTATTGATGTGAAATATTTATACATATACTTTATACATCAGTTGCACAGCCTTTATTGAATAATTCTTAAATATAGTACACAACTAGGAATCTATTAGGAGCTGGGAAAATCAGTTGGTATAGCAATGGGTTACAAAATGAATGGCTGGTGTTTGATTCCTGGCAGGGGCAAGAGATTTTCCTCTTCTCCAAAGTGTTCAGACCAGCTCTGGGGCCCAACCAGCCTCCTATCTAATGGGTACTGGGGGCTCTTTCTCACAGGTGAAGCAGCCAAGGTATGAAGCTGACCACTCACCTCTGTCTAGTGCCAAAGTCAAGAATTGTGGCATTATACCTCCACTCTGCAACACGTCTTCATGGTGTGGTACTTAATTAACTGAACATAGGAAGAACTTTACCTTTTACTAAAAGTCTATAAGAACAACTATTTTATGTGACACAGAAGAAAATAAGCTAACTTTACAGGTGACTTCTAGTGGCTCACCTAATACAAGAGAGAGTAAGTAAATAAGCCATAAATGGAAGAAAAACAACTGTTATGGATGTAACAGGTTTCCTATGTGTATCACTAGGTAGCAGCAAAGTCCAACTTCATGACAGTCTATGTAGCAGATGTGCATGCACATGTTCAGAGGATGTTTTTCAGTAGTCAAAATGGTGACCATGCTTTAGGGTCTGCTACTGCAGAGCAGCGTTCTGTTGCGCAGTTTTCTTTCTGTGGACAAAAGGACTCTGCAAAGAATATTCATACAGAAATGTTTCCTGTTTACAGTGGGAAGTGTCTGTCACATAAAGTGGTTCACAACTAGATGGCAAATGTTTCACTGACGACGAAGAGTTTGAAATGGAGAAGCAGCAGTAGCTGAGACAACAGTCAATAGACTTCTATGCTGGGGGTTTCAATGCACTGATAGAGCAATGAGACAAGTGTATCAATGTTGGTGGAGGATATGTTGAGAAATAAATGCTTTTTCCAGGTTCAAATATCACGTGTATTATATTTTATATCTATTTGTGACCTATGTACTGACTCTCCCTCATAGAACAGAACAAGATATGTTCCCCTCTGGTACAGATTACTGAAAAATTTTAGTACCATCACAATTCTGGTCCCTCTTCAATCAGTAACTGCCACTTGTGCAACAAAAACAAACTCCGTGGTTTCAGTCCGCAAGCGAACTATACCAACCGAGCAACCGCCACTTCTCAGTGAAGTTTAGTGCCAACTTTTGCAGATAGAGGGTGTCATGTGGTCAGCGTAATGAATCCCCACGGACATTAATTTCCGTTTTGTAGACCAGAGCCGCTATTTCCTTGAAATAGCTCCTCAGTTATCATCACAAGGCTGAGTGGACCCTGTTCCAGACCCACTACTTCACAGTACACAATACTTCAGTATTGTCTGTGAACTTTGCATTACTACTTGTGGCTAGTGATATACATACAGAAGTATAAAAGCAATATCTGTATCAATCTACTGGTTCTACAGGTATGGTGAATGAGTCAGAATTGGCTAGCACTCCTGCTACATATACAGGAGATATTCAGTTAAAGTCTTTGCTGGAGACTAGCTCTATCTGAAAAATAGGACATATCAGCTTCCTATTATAGCCTTACTCACTACTGATAATCAACACTGCCATACTTTTTCACATGGGAAACCCCAAGAATGGAGAATTCCATTAAATGAAACACGAACTTACCAATGCAGCAGGAATAAGAGGGCATATTTCTAAAGCACAAATTTAAGTAACAAGCCCAGTTCTTGTTTACACATACATGCATCTCCTTTTCTGATGGTCTCTCGGTGAGGTGATGGTGATCCTACCGAAGATTTTGGTACCAGAGTCTCTTCAGCAGGTAAATTCTTATAGCTTCTTTTGGCTCCTTCATTGTCCATAACTTGTGTTGTTGCCTTGAATACTTTACTCAACTCATTATCTATAAAAAATGGATGGCAATATAAGCTTTAAATAAGATCAAATATAACAAATTATAAATTATAAATCACTCCGTCCAATGTGACCGTAAGTTTTTACTACATAGAAACTTAACACCCTTACATGTTTCGGTCTCTGTGGACCATCTTCAGAGGGCAAACATCACTACAAATAGGAAACCACTATCACATAATTTGTTTACACGCAAAGTACGTACACTTATATGTTACAACACAGAATAGAACATTTCATAAACACAGCAGTTTCCTGGGAATGTAAGTTTTAAAAAATTGTATAAAATTCCTTGATGCTAATTATGATAGCTATGATAGCTAGTGATATCCAAAGACCGATTTCCAGCACAACTTCTTTACCAAACAAGCTTATGTGGCAGAAATGCTACAGACTTGAATTTAGGAAGATACTAGGCCAGCAGCTTGTGTTCCTTCTCCTTAAAATTACTATACACAATTTGCCATCATATTCTCCATCTAATTATTCACTTTGTCTGCCACTTAAAAAACCCAAGGATTTTGTAAAAACATACATGGTATCACCAGGCATTCTCTGGTCAGAAATAAAAATTTAATGCAGGAATACACATGATACACGTTCATTACAAATTCGAAACTACAGTCATACCCTGCTTTTCGATAAGTAATACAAGGCGGTCAACACTTTGTTTTGCAAATCCAATAAGACTACGTCGTTCTTTGGGAGTGAGAGATGGATTTCCAAGCGACCAACCACTATCTGCATCTTGCTGGAGAGCTGCAGCTACAAGGGCAAGCCCTTCTAAATATTTCCGATATGCCTCCTGAAATACAAAATTTTCATAACGTCAAACTGACATTGTATTTACGTAACCCTCGCTTGTTAACTCAAAAATATGATCTAAATTTACTTTCACAAAATGTTTTCCGTTCAAATACCCACCAAATCGTTATTCTTCTGCTCAAAATCAATAGCTTTACGGAAACTATTAACTACTCGTCTTCTAATGTTTTCTTCACTCATTGTGTATTAAATTCAAATGATGAAATAACCTCTTCCAATAACGGATGACACATTCTTTCTATGTCTTTCAAACAAAAACCTCGCCCACTATAAAATTCAAAATTGACAAAACTGACATATAACCAACACAACTACATTACTTTCCCTACAAACACACGAATTACTGCTGGAATACTCTGTAGTCCTAAGCGTCCTGAGGGAAAGTTTAGTGTACGTGTTGTCGGTGTTCGTTGAATGAAAAGAGCGAGGACCGGTGAGGACGGAATCAAAACAAAGAAGACAAATAATGGCGTCCAATATAGTTAGCACTGGTGAAAGGCTACTTGCCCTAATTGATGACATAGAATTAATTTCAAAGTAAGTGATTATTATCATGTATTTTATGAAGGTGACAACGGCTCGGATTTCAGATGTTAGAGTATACGCAAGGTTATAACAACTAGTATATTGGTACTAGGTGTTACCCTGTAAGAGTGGAATGTTAATGAATGTGATGCCATGTAGTAAGATAGAAGTTTAATGACGCTTCGGAGTCGCGTACTTCCGTCATATTAAAGGTTTTGAGAGTAAACCAAGGATCAAATCGATTTCTCCATGTTGCTTGGTTTACTCGTAACACCCAAGATTGAGTACATGCTTCCGAAACGTCGGTAAATCACCAGATTACTGGCCGTCACGTCCGAAAAGACAATTTTTATTACTATGAATATGTAAGTAATTGCCTTTTATTATAGGGAATTAATTGAGAACACCATTGCACAAAAACATCAGAAACTGTCAAGCTCTGAGCATTTTTTAATTACTGAATTACTTGTGGCCAAAGACAGTGAATTGAAGGAGGTTCTTAAAATGGCAACAGAACAAGCCAAAATTAATCACAAGATGGAATCTTTGAAAAGGGAAGTTGAGAGGCAAGACCAGTACATCCAGCAACTTCAGCGGCAACTAAAGGAGGCAGAACAAATTCTTGTAAGTGAATACTACGTTGTATTGTATTGTGATCCTCATGTGAATACAAGACTTAAATGTTATATGCTATACAATTTTATATACCTCGTATGTGTTACACTAACTGATGGACTATTGTCATCATGATAGAATGTAACTTGTGTTTCCATGCATTGGTGTATCTCCTTAAAAACTGGATGTAAGGCTGTCGCTGCAGTACAGATGAAGCATGTGGCTATTTGGGGTGGCATAATTTTAATGGCAGCACATTTTACTCAACACTTTGTGGACTGGTGGCATATATTTATGCCCAGCGCTTTTAAACATGGCAGACCATTGGCATATTTTTATGACTTTAGGACACGTTAGATTGTAACACATTATACCTTTCTCCGGCGCCACCCAAATAAAATGACTACTACGTAATATTATTCCAGAATGTTTGCTTAGTAGGCAGTAACTTGATCTCACTGTTTGGGTACACCTTCTAAAGGAAAATTATCTTTAACCCTTCAAGCTCTTATGTACCAGGCAGGAAGTTAGTTGCGCAATGAGTCAAGGACAGAAGCAGTTGAAAACCAAGCAATAGCTGACTTGTTCTCCGACGTGCTATCTGACGTGAGCTATTTGACATTCCTTCTGAGACGTGTAGTGATAGTGATTTGACAGTGGCAGTGGCAGAGGACAACAAACAATTGTGGCTACAGACAATATAAGTGAAAGTAGCTCCGACGAAAGTGCAGGTAGAAGGGGAATGTTTCCAGAAATATCACACTCAAGCACTTATAGAAGCATTGGTAAGTGTTCTCCAAAAATTTTAGTTCATAAAATTAATTAGGATATTTTATATTAATGTTTAAAATGAACAGTGCACAAGTTAGGGTAGTGGGTTAAAAAATGCCGGTCCCCAGAGTGATTTAAATATTTAAATTGCTGGTCCGCAAAGTGTTAAGAACCATGGAATTGATTTTGATAAAATTTGATATGAACTATGCCACATTATAGTTTCTTACTGTAGGTAATAATGACATGGCAACTGCTCAAACTTGAGACTGGAGTAGTACTGGCACCACTTTCAAAATGCAGTAATCACAGGAACCATACAGACCAAAATTATATTTAATACAATTCTTTATTGGGATCCATCATAACACAACAGTGAAACAGTCTAGGTCAGGCATGTCCAGTGTGTCGATCGCGGGACAATTTTTGGTCGATCTCATAGACCTATAAGGAATTTATATGTGAAAAGCATATAAATTCACTTGTAATATAATATGATTATATTCATATTTTGAAGGGAATATACATGTTAAAGTAGTCTGTACTTTCAATGTATGTTGCTGTTACAACAAACATCAGATGTGTTGTTTTTACCAATATTTTTGCTTAAAGTGAGGTACAACGATAGGAAGGGGTGGTAGATCACTGGCAGTTTTGACACTAAAAATTGATCACAACCTGTTTGAAGTTGGACATGCCTGGTCTAGGTCAACATCACATTAGCTACATGTTTCAGCTTTTAAAGCCAACATCAGGCAAATACATGGTTACTGAACTCACACACTGTTGAACTGCATTTCAATGTGACAGCAGAGCTGGATGCTTGACAACTATGTTACACTATAATAATACAAGGTATAAAAATACAATAAAATTATAAAATTATTAGAAAACAAAAGTTATACAATAAAGTATGGTTAAAATTATTCATGTGTTTCATATTATGAAGTCAGTGTTACAATCTTGTTATATTCCAGTGGACATATAGCAGTATATTCATGACTTGTACACATATAGTTAACTGCTTGGAGGCCTGTGGTATTGGTGTATTATTATTAGGTATTAATTGTTTGGCTGGTGCCTCATTTTACAGTGTATTTTTTTCACTTTGGTGGGAATACAGATTGCAACTCAATCCATATTGAATAGTGTGTGAGTTCAGTAACCATGTATTGGCATGATGCACAACAGGATGCATCCAATGAAAATTGTACTTAATGTCATCAAGGCTATTCAGAATGACAAAATGCAAAGAATTCACGTGGAAACTCTGCAGCTTTCCAGTTCTGTGTACCTTTAGTACATTAATGACAAGAAAGTGATGAGTAGGGAGAAGTGTACCTTTTAACTGAAGACCAGGAAAAACATCTGTAGTATCTATGAGACCTAGGAAAGTCCCGGTGTCTGCCACATCAGCCAGTGAAGAAGTTATATCTCATATTGCACACCAAGAGGTTCCGGTAGAATATCAGATGGTAGGACACAAGTAGGTGGGACCTCAAGTAGGCAAAATAAAGCCACCATCACGAGAAGCGAGGATTTTTTATTTCAGAATTAATTTCAAATAGACAAAAGCACACTGCATTTGAACACCGAAGTAATCAGTCGTGTAATAAGAATGATGATGTAAATAACCTATTTACGATATTTCTTCAAAATATTAGGAGACTAAAAGGGAAAATTAATGAGTTAATGATATCTTTATTAAATGAGGAACCCACTGTAATTTGTATGATAAAACATCATCTAACGGACTATGAAATGGATGCTTCACATATTCCTAAATATAAATTAGGTGCAAGATATTGTAGGAAGAAGTTAAAAAATGGTGCTGTCTGTATAGTCATTCAAGATGATCTCAATTTTACTACTATAAATCTACAAAAATATTGTAAGGATCAAGACGTGGAAATTGCAGCCATTCAATTGAAACTTAATGAGACAAGGGTAATTATTCTATGTATATACAGAGTCCCAGCTGGCAATTATGACTATTGTTTAAGCAAACTGGACTATATACTTAATTTTCTTCATAGGTATAACTCAGAATTTATATTACAATTTTCTTCATAGGTATAACTCAGAATTTATATTACTGGGGGACATAAATATTAATTATCTAGAAAATAATAATAATAGGAAATCAAAGTTAGATGACATGTTAAATACTTATAATCTAAGGGATACTGTATATTTCCCTACAAGAACTGACAATAATTCAGCCACTTTGATAATGATATATTTATTGATAACAAAAGAAATTATACCATTAAACCATGTATTAATGGACTGTCTGATCATGATGCACAGCTCATAATGTTTAAGAATATTACTGTACCTAATAATATATTTGGATCTATCCTTGCTAGAAACATTAATAAAAATAATATAGCTGAATTTAAAATGTTATTAAGTTGGGAACAGTGGGACAATATTTTTGGCAATAATAATGTTAATAATATGTTTAACACCTTTCATAGTACTTATTTAAGATGTTTTTGTGCCTGTTTCCCACAAAAGGAAATCAAATATAATATTATTAATAATAAGTGGATTACAGAAGGGATAATGACCTCATGTAAAAGATAGAACTCTTGTTATTATGCAGACATAGTGATGATTTAAACCTTAAAATATATTATAAACGATATTGTCAAATATTATCAAAAGCTGCAAAAAATCATATTACTATAGAATTATTCTTAATTCTGATAATAAAATGAAAAGTACTTGGAAAATAATAAATGAGGATAAAGGGAAAATAGAAAGGGATAAAGGTATTCGTTCCATAACGGTAGATAATGAAGTAATAATGAATCAGAACAAAATTGCAAATGCTTTTAATAAACACTTTCAATCTATAGCTGATTCTGTTATATCAGATAATAATAAATATATAAGCTCCAATTCATCCAGTCCAATCAATTATTTAGTGAGTATGTTTAGTAGACCTTTTACTAATTTTACTTCTACTTTAGTGTGCCTCCACTTATGAAATTGAAAAAATTATTAAATCGTTAGAGACTAAGAACTCAAATGGATATGATTAAATTTCAAACATAAGGTACCTGCCTGTGCAATGGATGAAAGTGATGAGTGAATGTGAAACGACGGGATCGACGACCGCTGGACCATGGAATTGTTCAGGGCGAACAGTCTCAAGAAGGGAGCAGATGTAACGGCCAGAGAATAGTCTCTGCAAGAGGAGTAGCTGGACAGAAAGAATACGCTGCAAGAACAGCCTTCACAGAAAATGAACGGGGATGCACCGTTAGGCTATTCAGGACGAACAGCCTTAAGGAGGGAGTAGTGTGACATATTCGCTCTATGCAGGACACCCCCTCCCCACCCCTAACACTTGACAATAATAATAACATGAAATTCACCATTTATAATTTCTTCACTTAACTGTATTTTTCCTGATAGATTAAAATTTGTCATAGTTAAACCACTATTTAAGAGAGTGAAAACTCATAATATATCCAACTATAGACCTCTATCATTGTTGATTTCTTTTTCTAAGATCGTTGAAAAACTCATATATGCAAGACTTATTACTCATATTGAAGCAAATAATCTGTTGGTACACGAACAGTGTAGTTTTAGGACACACTCCTCAACAGAGAAGGCAGCTTTTACACTGATAAATAATATTTTAACTGCTATGAATAAGAAGTTAATGGTGGGAGGCATTTTTTGTGATTTAAAAGGCATTTGATTGTGTTAACCATAAAATATTATTGGATAAATTGGAATTCTATGGATTTGAAGGAAAATTCAAAACACTTATTGGATCTTATTTGACAGGTAGATAACAAAGAGTTGTATTGGGTAACAGAATCGACAGTAACAACTCATCCAAATGGGAAACATTTAAATGCAGTGCTCCACAGGGCTTGATTCTTGGTTCCGTGTTTTTTCTGCTTTATATTAATGATTTACTTACTTACTCATGGAGCTGAGCCCTTCTGGAGGAGCCGCCAATTCTGCAGCTACTCAATTTCCCAGCATTTTATGGAACCCGGAGGTTCAATATTAATGATTTACATAAAATAATAAATAGAAGTAATAATATGACACCAGTATTATAGTAACTGATACTAGTAAGTTAAACTTTGAAATAAATCTTAATCATACCTTCAAAGATATAAATACATGGTTTAATGCTAATTTGCTTACCTTGAATTTTAATAAGACTCAATATGTCGAGTTTCAACCTATGAATTATTATATCACTACTCAAATTAACTGTGATCAGATAAATTTAACAAATGTGACTGTGACAAAATTTCTGGGATTAATTATTGATGACACTCTTTCATGGAAACAGCATATTGATTATGTTATTAATAAAATTTCCATTGCATGTTATGCATTGAGAAATATAAAATATATTGTCCCTTTAGATATGTTAAAGCTAATTTATTTTGCTCATATACATTCTATCATAAGTTATGGTATAATTTTTTGGGGTAGCTCTTCTTGCGTTAACAAAGATTTTATATTGCAAAAGAAAGTTATTAGAATGACAACGAATTCTAGACGAAGAGAGTCTTGTAGGGACATTTTTAAGAATTTGAAAATAATGATGTTCTACTCTCAGTACATATATATATTCATTACTTTTATACACAATAATAAACATTTATTTAATTGTAACAATGAGATTCACAAATACAAAACTAGAGCCCTCAGTAATTTATATTTACCTGCAGTTATCCTAACAAAATACATTAAAGGTGCATACATATCAGGTATTAAAAGTTTTTAATCATCTTCCTCAAACAATAAAAATGTTGGCTACTGATGTGAGAATAATAATATTATGAAAACGTTAAATAGTTCCGTCCAGTGTGACTGGTTAAGATTTTTTTTTCTTATTTCAATTATTCATGCTCTAACATGTTTTGGTCTTCAGAGGGACACCTTTACATCAATACAGTTAGAAGCCACTATTACTACAATACATGTTCTAAAAGTTAAAGTATATACATACAATATAAATAATATACAATTGGGTGTAAAATCTAAAGACTTTAAAACTACAGCGGCTGTTCAAATACATTAAAATATAATTTATAGTTAGTGTAATAAGATTCTATTGGAATTCATAAACCAGGCTGGTTCATGTTGTCTCTCTTTTCACTTATTGAGTCAATAAGGTTGTTCTGTATTCTGTTCAATAAACCTGTAAATACTATACTGTTCTCAAGGTGAACATTGAGTTTATGATCATATTTCCTCAACAAGTGTACTGATTCCACATAATTACCTCGGTCGATAGAATCCACGCTTTCGTCATGACCACGGAGGCCAAGTTGCCACTTTCCTAAATGGCAGGTGATATCAATCAAGCATTTCATTATTTCTCTATTTTCTTTCACATTTTCAATCTGCTGTAGTATCGTCAGGTGCTTTTGATTGTCAAGTTGACAGTCAATTCGAGATTTCCCGAGCATAACAAGTTGCATTGTTGAAATAATGTGAGTCTGAGAGTTCTCATGTCATTTCAATGCTTTATGAAGGTTCTTGATATCACCAAATCCAGTCTTGTTTCATACATTTTTTTCATTGAGAAACAACAGGCCTGGCCAACAAAATAATTTTCCTATATTACGTCAACCGGTAGCCACTCTGTTTTAGAATACTGTTCAAAATTAAATTTCCTCACACATAATTTGGTTTGTGCTTTTAAGTTCTGGCAACTTGCATGTTGGTCATCCTCTTTCTATAATTATTTTCTTTTCAGAAAAGTCCCTGCTATTAGTTTTAAAAGGCTTTCGATTGCACAGTCACAGTCACGTCTGCCAGCATTCATTTTATCTGTGTCCTGTGCTTGTAGTCTAATCACACCCCTGCCCTTCGTACCGCAATATTAGACTTGCTTCCCTTAACTGCGGATGGCTTCTTTCTGATGCGTCAAAATATGATCACAAATACCATCTTACGCCATATAAATATGTATTTACAATATTTTAATGAAACTTAATGTTACCTATAACACCCAAGAAGACTGAAATCACACATAAACAGTTAATTTTCACATAACCATCGAAAGACCACAGTCCTTCGCTTCCACATCACAGGCATTACCCAGCAAACCGAAAGTTACTTCCGTACTCACTTTGTGTGAGACGAATTCTTACGGAGTTTAACGAAGGAAACTTGGTCCGTCCCACCAAGCAGGGTAAGGTAGGAGGAGGAGGAGGCATGTGGCCTTGAGCAGGAACAAGCGCTAAATGACAATAGTCAAATCCTTATTACTCAAATTGAATTATTTATATATATGACTTCATTTCTTTTTGTTTCTTAACTATGGAAGTAATGCTTCCCTTGCACGCCACTGCTCTTATTATTTCTTTTTGATTGGGGCCGAATGTGTACCACCTTGTCGTTCTCGAGAAGAGGGTTCTGAAAATATATGCAAATACGTTATCATGGAAATGGTTTACAATACCAAAAAAGGGAGCATCATGAATATAGAAGAAAATTTTCATATATATCGCTTTAATAAGTGCAACAAATTGATAGTAGAACAAAAACACACAAAGGAAAGTGACAACCAGCATAATATGTTCGACTTCATAATACAACATCAGTACATGCCCACACTAATGTCACAGACACAAGGAGTATAAATACATGGTACAACACAACCTAGAACAGTAAAAACAACACAGCAGGCCACAAACACATACAGGACAACATTAAAGGTAGGACGAAATAAAAGGTTTTACAAAACATAATAGGATTGCTGAAATAATATAATATACCCATAATATATTTGCAGAACCCTTTTCTCGAGAACGACAAGGTGGCACACAATTGGCCCCCATCAAAAAGAAATAATAAGAGGGATGACACGAACCAGCTTGGTTTACAAATTCCAATGGAATCTTATCAAACTAACTATAAATTATATTTTAACCTATTGGAACAACCGCTGTAGTTGTAAAGACTTCAGCTTTTGCACCCAATTGTATATTATTTATAATGTATGTGTATATTTTAACCTTTAGAGCATGTACCGTAATAGTGGCTTCTAATTGTATTGATGTAAAGGTGTCCCTCTGTAGATGGTCTCTGAAGACCGAAACATGTAAGGGCATGAATAATTGAAATAAGAAAAAAAAATATCTTAACCAGTCCCACTGGATGGAACTCTTCAACTTTTTTAAAATATTTAATTCAATTAATATAGGTAATCTAAATAAAATTGTATTAATTCAAGTTTTATAGTAAGTTTTTTATAATTATGTTATTAAATTTTTACTTTATATTATTATTTATGTTAATCGATTAATGTAAGTGATTTTGATTATGTGACTCATGTAATTTTGTATATGTATCTTGATATACCTATTTTCAAAAGGACCATTTCCACATCCTACGTTTGTTAAAAATAAAAGATAAATAAAAATAAAGGAAATGGATTTGTAAAAGATTGTGGATCTGAGACACATGCAATAACAATGAGTATAGGTGGATTTCACAATTGTCTGCCAGTCCATCATGCTTTTAAGGCACTTCCATGTGTAGTTAAGGTCTGAAAATCAGTTCATGCATGATTGGAAGTGACCGTCAATAAAATCTAAAACTCAGATGAGGTGATGAGTTTTCAAGAGTAATTTTATTAGCGTTGTTCTATGATTTCTGTTCATTTACAAGAAACTTATCTTATAAATCATGCTCTAACTGTCCTGGTTATAACTTCTCAGCATGGACCACATAGAAAACACCATTATTCTATTGTTGCTTGCATATTCATTGCCGCAGGAACTTGTTTACCAAGCTGTTGCCCAGAAATGGGTTGCATAATACCATTTATTAAGAATCCACTTCCTCAGCAACTGGTGTCATTTCATGACCATTACCCAGCAATGGATCTACATGTTACAATATAATAAACAATTTTGTTGTACTGATACTAACCTTTCCATGCTAAAGACATATATATATATATACATATGTCCTATGAAATGTTAGTTTAAGATAGGTTAGGTAAAATTCTGTTAAATTAGTATTGGTTAAGTTCAGGTATGGGAGCTGCGATAGCTTAGCCAGGATAGCAACTGGCTACTGGCTGGATGACTGAATGGCTGGAGTTAACTACCAGTAGGGGAAAGATTTTTCTCCTCTCCACATCATCCAGACAGGTTCTGACGCCTACTCAACCTCCTGTTCAGTGGGTTCCAGGGCAGGGCCTCTTTCCCAGCGGGTAAAGCGACCAAGGCGTGATGCTGACCACTCACCTCCAACATGTGCCGAGGTCAAGAATACGTGGATCTATACATCCACTCCTCCATACGTCTTCATGTCATAGTGCTTAATTAACAACATGGACAACTTTACCTTTTAAATTCAATTACAGACATACATACACATCCTTTGGCATATCTTTAGTCTGAATTACTGAAAGAAAAACACTTAGCATGAAAAGGGTAAATGTGATATTAACAGTATATAAGAGATTCAGATAATGGGATTTATGACTGTTGTGATGTCTGTTGCAGGCAACTGCTATATATCAAGCTAAACAAAAACTTCAGTCCATAGCAAGAGCCAGCAAGCGACCAGTGCCTTCAGAGGACTTGATCAAGTTTGCTCATAGAATTAGTGCATCTAATGCTGTGTGCGCTCCACTGACATGGCAGCAGGGTGATCCTCGGCGACCATATCCAACAGGTAACATTGCTGTTAATGGCTCCAAACCCAAATATGAAGGTTATAACAACTAAAGTGTTGAAAGCCATATGAAAATTTAGTGAGCATATCATGTCTAACTTGTACAGAAAAGTTGTTTCACAGCCTGCTGCAAGTCACTTAGCCAATCCAGTAGAACAGACACACATTTCTTGCTCCGACTGTTTTCACATGTGATCAGACATACAGTACAATGAACAAGCCTGCAGACTAATAATTATAAGCAAAACCCACCAAGATCACAGCAGGTGCTGGAGATGGTTCCTCTTGTGCATACATTCCTTGCATCTCCATAAAGAGTTCACATTTTTATGTGTATTTTCCTTTTGAAAAACAGAACATACTTGAAATATTAAATCTAGATCTCTTTTGCAAGGCATGTAAGTGATTTTCCAGGGGAATGTTCAAGCCTAGCATAGATTCCATCAAATTTTCCTTCATTGAGCACTGGGTTTTATGATTCGTTTCCTTTTTCTCCGGTAACAATCCTGTCTGGCTAAATGTACTGAGATTGTATCAATAGTTCATTATTTTAAACCATATTGTCCTGAAATTTATGTAGGAAACTTTACCTTACTTTTCACATGGGTATCAGCAGGCACATAACATGTAAGCTTCCTTTGTCATGGCTGTTCAAAGATTTGTTGGGGTGATACTGGCCTGTCAACTACATCACAAGTCTGAGCACACTCACGGAGAATGATATGACTAACTTGTCCCTTTTGCCCAACCGAATTTGCAACATGGTGTCAGATGACCTATCTTTATTTTATTCATATCTCAGCCAGAGCACTGAATATCCTTGCTAAGTTTTTGATGATTTTCCACAGTTCCTTCTGTCAGATGTTGGGGAATGGTAGCTTGTAAAGTAAAGTAAAGCTATCCCTGTAACAGGCCGTGAAGGCCCATAGGATTGTCAGACGTTGAGGGCCCCACATTATCTAGACAGTCGGCTCAAAGATGGTGGTAAGGTTGTCAGCCTTATGTGCCGGCTGCGCTTCACTCCCCAGGAAAATTATTTAATTAATTCCTGGTACTCATTTCTGTTAGAGGCTGAGTCAACCCCAGGGCCATAGTGCAGCTGGAAGGATTAGGTCAATTGAAGAAAATCCAGTGACCTCATTGGGGTTTGAACCCGCGACCTTCCGGCTTGTAGCATAGTGCCTCAACCAACTACGCTACCACAGTAGACCAAAATTTCTTTCTTCTATATCTCTCTCTTGGACATGACTTTCTTATAATTTTTGAAGAGAGAAAAAGATAAATTACCGTACCTAAAGCAACATTTTTGCTCTAGATATTGAAATGCGTCTGGGATGTCTTGGTCGTTTAAGCGATCTACCAATCAATGGTCATCTTCTGCAGCAGCAGAACAGCCTTACAGATCTCCACAGGACAGGCCATCCACCTGGATCAGGTCAGTTCTGAAGTCCTTATTGTATGTCACAATATTTTATTTGACTAATGCCTCCAGCTATGATCTTCCTGGCCTGCCTTGTCTCTTTTCATCTCAGAAAAGGTGAAAAAACAATTTTGGAAGTATGGGCAGCTATGAGGTAGACTTTGGTACTTTGTGTAAAATGATGTTCATATGTCCAGCGATTCTGATGTTTTTAGAGCATGCATGTTTGTGTGCATGTGACTTCTTCATGCATAGCAGTCATACAACAATTAGTGGGTGGGTGTTTTGGTTGTGAAGGACATCCCTGAATAAACAGATGATTATGAATACCAGAGGTTATGGAAGTATATGAGATAATCTTTAATTTCTGGTTGTAGATAATATTAAGGACGTCAAGAACACTGAGTTACTCTTTGCTAATTTCATCTCTCTTAGATCATTGTTTCTCCACCGCCGGGCTGCAGCCCGGTACTGGGCCTTGGCATCAGTTATACCAGGCCCTCATCTTATAAAAAAGAATTTACCGAGCCGCAGTTTCACAATGGTTGATAACCACTGCCTTAGATAACCACTTGAAAATTGGATAAATATTGCCATACCAACATTAATTATTTTAACCATAGTGCCACATTTATACATATATGTAACTGAATTATTTTCCGTTATTATAAATACCTGTTAGAACAAGAATTTGTGTTAATTTTATAAATTCTTGTTATATTGAGGGTATGCTATACTTATCTGTTAACTTTATATATATACATTCCAACATGTTTGTCAAAGCTGAAAAAATTTTTTAAATGTGTTTTCAGCAGTGTTGTCATGTCATGAATGTCATGTGATTTAGAATGAGATCCTACTGGTATTTTATTTTCAGGATTGTGGAACTGTGTTTTAGCCATTGTCACCTTTCCATAACATTTTGTGAATGTCAGTGGAATTTTTCTCCATATCTGAAATAAAGTCATTATCATTATTTCAGAGCTTCCTGCATCCCAGCAGAACCAGTTTGCATGGCATCCATCAGGTGAAATCCACATGACAGTGGGGGGACAAGGTAGCGTTTCTATGGATACCAGGAATCACACTACAGAGGATGTAGAAGTGATGTCAACAGATTCTAGCAGCAGTTCCTCAAGTGACTCCCAGTGATACATTTTGGAAGTTGAAAGTAGTCATTCTGTTATTATAATAAATGTGTACATAATTATCTTGTATTTTGTTGGGAGAGAAATAACAGTATCTAATGTGTTGAAGCAAATATGAGAGTCTGGAATTCAGAGACATGTTTCAATGAGGAAAATATAAGTTTGGATCTTGTAACTTCAGTTTTATTTCTATTTAACTTGTAAAACTGTCAATAAAGATGATTTGGAGTTAGTATTTATTATTTTTAGCCTAGTTGTCATATTTTACATAGGCGAGTCAAATGAAAACCTTAAATATTTTTTTGAGTATTATTTATTGTGCACAAGTGGTGCAAAGCTGTATCACTTTCAACATAATCTCCCCCACGCTCAATGCAAGTCCTCCATGCATGAATTCCTTTAGAAAAAATTCTTTTAACTGTGCTACAGGGTATGATTGACAGACTAATTGAAATTGGAAGGTGCTATGGCATGGAAATGAATGTGGAAAAAACAAAAGTAATGAAAATTTTGAGACAGCCAACCCCAGTCACAATAAAGATAGACCAAAAACAACTGGAGAATGTGAAATGTTTTAAATATTTGGGTAGCTTGTTAATAGATGAAGGAAGGTGTACTTGTGAAATTAAATCTAGGATTGCCATGGCAAAAGCTGCATTTAGCAAGAAGAAGAATCTTTTTACCAGCAAATTGGACTTAAATTTGATAAAGAAACTAGTGAAATGATACATTTGGAGCATGGCTTTGTATGGGGCTGAAACTTGGACACTTAGGGCAGTAGATCAGAAACACCTGGAAAGCTTTGAAATGTGGTGTTGGAGAAGGATGGAGATCAGTTGGACCAATTATGTGAGAAATGAAGAAGTGTTATTTAGAGTCAGTGAGCAGAGGAATATCCTACACGAAATAAGAAATTGGAAAGCTAATTGGATTGGATATCTTATGCAGTAACTGCCTTCTAAAAGAAGTTATTGAAGGAAAGATAGAGGGACAGATAGAAGTGACCAGAATACATAAGAAGATGCTGGATGACCTTGGGGACAGAAGAGAATATTCTCATTTGAAGGAGAAAGCTCTAGATCACATTAAGTTGAGGAACTGTTTTGGAAGACTGGACCTGTCGTCTTGACAGATTACTGATGAATGAACTCCACGTGGTGTACTTCTTCATCAGAATGGAACGTTTTTCCTCCCATTGCTTCTTTGAGTGGTCCAAACATATGGAAGGCACTTGGGGCAAAGTCTGGTGAGTATGCCGGATGAGGAAGACACTCAAAATGCAGGTCATTGATTGTCACAACTGTTGTACGGGCAGTATGGGGCCTTGCATTGTCATGTTGCAAAAGGATACCTGTGGACAGCAATCCACGTCGCTTTGATTTGAGTGCAGGCCGAAGATGATTTTTTAGGAGAACTGAGTTTGTATACACACATTTATATTACAGTATACCTTCCTGTTTAATTCTGTTATCATTCCCCCCTCTCACTTTCCAAACATTTTTTATATGAAAATTCATTTTAACTGATCATCCTACCATTTCACATTACATAGTTATTGCTACTGACAGCCTTGTTAAATAAACCATAAAAAGAGAATAAATTAACACAGCTCAAGCATTTGCTCCTCCAAATTGACTGAAAGTTAGTCCAAGACCTGCCAATAGTCACTTCCTAATTCTTAGTTATGTTTTGGATTGAGCCATAACCATAACATTTAGAAAGGTGCAAACATTTTGCATGAAATACGAAGAACGTGTATTATATGCAGACAATACAAATAAGTCTTGCAAAATTTTGGTTGGAAACTGCAAGGGATACCACTGAGAAGGTGGGAAGATTATAATAAGATATCTTAAAGAAGTAGGTTATGAAGATGTAGACAGGCTCAGGATGGAATTGTGTTTGTGGGTTTCTTACCCATTTAGCCAGGCTGCCACTGCATAATGCAGCTCCTGTGTAGATTGCTGTACTATGATAAGATGACCACAGCTTGAAATTTACTCTCTTCAGATGTGAAACTGTGCAGCCAATTAGATGTTTACTCATATTTAGGAGGAATATCCTGCTTCCATTTTCAGAGATTTCTGATATGTCAAGAAACATATATTCACTGTTACATCCCAGGAGATAGCCTTTGCAGTCACTGTTAGGAGTATCTCAAATCTTGCATTTCCAAAGTTGACGTAGCATAGTTGATTGAGGCTCTATGTTACAAGCTTGAAGGTCGTGGGTGTGAGTCCCAATGAGGTGGATTTTTTCATTTTACCTAATTCTTCCAGCCACACTATGGCCCTGGGGTCAGCTCAGCCTTTAAGAGAAATGAGTACAAGGAATCATCTGGAGGGGAGAGGTAAAGAGCAGCCATCATGTAAGGCTGACAACCTCACTGCCATCTGTGAGCTGAATGTCTAGACGATGTGGGAGCCTTGACATCCCACAACCCTATGGGCCTTCACGGCCTGTTACAGGGATAGCTTTTTTTCTCTCTCTTTTTTTTTTTTTACATGAAGATTACTCTCTGTGACGGAGACACTCTTGGTGTTCTGTAGAAGTACCCCACATATATCCACTGCTTACATTTAGTTACATTCAGTATAATGATTAGGCTATGAGTGGATGACTGAGGAGCAAGGGTTAGTGTCATGGCAGGGCCAAGAGATTTTTTTCTCAATAATGTGAGAGACCAGCTCTTGGTCCATCCAACCTCTTACCCAATGAGTGCTGAGGCCTCTTTCACCAGAGGCAAAGTAGCAAGGATATGAAGGCAACCAGTCACTTTCATCTAGTACAGAGGGTAAGAATACATGGAGCTACATCTGCACTCCTGCAGTGTCTTTGTGGCATGGTGCATAATTAAGCACAGGACAGATTTACTTTTATATTATAATTTAACAGAAGTACAAAGAAACTGTTTGACATCCCATATGCACTTTTCACTCTACTCAAGTTACATTGCTCCAGGCACATTCTGTGACAAAGCTAACCTTTATGTCATACTACCAGAAACAGTAAGAAGAAAATTATAAAAACCAAAAAGAAAACATCGATGAAATGACAGAACAGATGAACGATGAATCATGGTGAAGATTCTGTTGGCTTTGCTACAAATAGAGAACGTTATATCAAAAAGCAAAATGAGTATCAATGACCCAAGGAAGACCTATACCATACAGAACTGATGAAAAGTCAAAGTTGTATAAACATGAGAACCTTCACTATCTTCTTCAGATAAGGTTATAATGATGATAATATTAGAAGATTGTGACAGGACAAGCTCCATGCACTGGGGAAACAAAAATGAAAGTAACATTGAATCACCTTGGAGAAGAGACAACATGGGAGACAAACATTAAAATAATCTTACAGAAATAAGTTGTGACATGAAGTGGTTCATCACAGAGTTCATAACGACAACGATGACAGGACAGGTACAATCTATGCTTGAATTCACACAGTTTCCATTAAGAGTTTCTACATTTGCATTCTCAATGATTCTAGTTGTTCTGGATAGGTGATGAATGCTTTAATATTATGGAAACTTGGTACTGTGTTCACTGTTAAGATATAATCTTCTGGAATGTGACACTGTGAACTATGATGGAAGTTTACCAGTGTTTTGGAGAAACATATTGCTTCTCTCTTCAGTGTTGAAGAATAGGCTGAGCAAGCAAGCAGCACTTCATGGAAGATGATATTCTTCATAGTTGTAGAGTCATAACTGTGGCCACGATTGCATCAGTGACAGAAAATAAGTGGGTGGAGTTATCTTAGCTGGAATGATTGAAAATAGTTGTCTGTCTACCCTCTTCCTCCACAAGACACACCACACTTCTCAAATACAGCAACAAATACCAGACCAAAACAGTAGTCTCTGCCTTGAGAACCTCAAATGTGACATTTGACTGTTTACATTTTTTACCCTATTGTCATTATGCTTCACATTAAGATTACTTTCTTTTGCAATGTGACAATGTAGTTTGGTAGATAAGTAAAAACCTTTTGAAGGAACTTGCTGCTTTCATCTTCAGCTGAAAGAGTCCAAGAAGACAGTACTGATATCTTCATAGTTGCTGTTGCGGGAACTTCAGATCTCTTGTATCATTCCTATGGTTACTGTCGGCTGTTACGGGCTTTTTTTTATAAAACGTGCAAGAAAAGAAAGTAAATATGGATGGTCATGCTGTCCAGCCACATTTCAACTAGCGTATTACTAGCCTCACTTTTACAAAATTTGGTATGATCATTATGCCATTGGAGACCACCCCAACTTTGTATATTCTTATTTCATACAACTGACAATAACAACGTGGCTAAAGTATGATCGTTTTTTGGTTGGAGTGGTACTAGTGCAACTACCAAAAGTGGTAACAATGATAACCGTCAAAGTATTAACCATATTCTTTATCAAAATAGACTGTCTCTGTGGCCTAGTTGTCAGAGTATGATTCCTGGCGCTACCAGATTTTTTCTGGGGTCTGGAACGGGGTCCACTCAGCCTCATGGTGATAACTGAGGAGCTATTTCAAGGAAATAGCGGTTCCAGCCTAGAAAACCTAAATAAACGGCCGTGGGGATTCGTTGCGCTGACCACGCGACACCCTCTATCCGCTAAAGTTGGCGCTAACTTCGCTGACAAAGGGCGGTCGATCGATCGGTATAGTTCGCTTGCGGACTCAAACCACAGAGTTTGTTCGTTTTTGTCAAAATATCTTTGAGCCTATGGCATGTCTTGAATGTAAGAATAGCCCTGCTTATTCAACAAAATCTTTGACTTATCGATTTAGTTACCCACTGAATATTAGAAAAAGGATCTACTAAATTTCTGATGGTGGAGCAATGATCTACATCAGTGTTTCTCAACCGCCGGGCCGCGACCTGGTACTGGGCCCTCATCTAATATAAAAAAAAATTTACCTGGTCGCGGTCTGACAAAGGTTGAGAACCACTGATCTACATCATTATCTGTTGACGGTGAGAATGCTGATGCAACCTCAAAAATGTCTTAGACAGAATACATAAGAGTTGTGTTAAAGATGATAGCCAAAGGTCTACCAGAAAACAAAGTAACCACGGTAAAGAATTTTAGAAGTCTATGAATGGTACATATACTCAAATGCGACATACATACACCAAGGTGCAAAGAACACGTGTGTATGCAGAAGTGGCGGTAGGGGGAAAGGGGGTATAACTGTATATTATGTTTTGTATGTATCAATTATTACACCATATATAGGGTTAAACATTTCGGTAAAATTATCATTCAATTGCAGATTTAGTTTGCTGATTTCGTAAATGTGAAATCTTTCATATGTATCCAAGGTTCGGCCTTTCTTGCCGATATATAGAACTTCTAATGTTTTGCCTATCGTAGACAGTTATTAAGAGAAATGAAATACGATTTTTATGTCCATTATATTTGCTCCAATTTTTCGGAATAATTAAATACACGTGACTGAGCCCTCAGAATCATGAACACTACGCGAACAATGGACTTCGTACACAGGCGAAGATTTCGGAAGTCTCCTACTGTCGATAATAATTAAACGAAATTTCTTCCCGTCCATATTTAGTTTTCTTGCATACAAATGCACATTTAGTTAAAAGGTAACTGGATTTTCTGCTACAACCGTTACTTTAATAAACAAAAAAGAAGCAATGAACAAAAGGCCATGACATTTGCCAAGCATTTGCGAAATGTATTTCTCCCCAACGACATCGAAAGTACCCTAGAAGACCAGCAGGCGATCAATAGGGTCCTTGCAGCACCGCATCAGATGGCCCCACCCATAAAAAAATTCAAAATTAAAGAAGTCAGACAAGTCATACAAAAAGAAATCAACGCAAATAAAGCGCCTGGGTATGACATAACTACAGGGAAGGTCCTACAGGAAGTCTCTGAGAAGTGTTTTCACGTAATCACGATGATCTTCAATTCAGTGTTGAGAGTGGAGCACTTCCCCATTCAATGGAAAATAGCGCAAATCATCATGGTTCCTAAACCGGCGAAAAATCCCAGAGAGATTGCATCGTATAGACCTATAAGTCTTCTACCAGTCCTTTCAAAAGTCTTAGAAAAACTCTTGCTGAAACGCCTCACACCAATCTTAGAAGAACAGAAATTAATACCAAGCCATCAGTTTGGTTTCAGAAGCAAGCACGGTACTATTGAACAGGTACATAGAGTAGTGAAAGAAGCCTCCAANCATGACTGCAACATATGCTGATGACACCGCTGTTTTAGCAACCCATATGGATCCTGCTACGGCATCTAGATGTCTTCAAGAAAACCTACATGGCATGCAAAAATGGCTAAGAAAGTGGAAGATCAAAGTCAATGAGAGCAAATCGGTCCAGGTAACATTTACTATGAAAAAAAGACAATGCCCGTCAGTTACACTAAATGACTCACAACTACCACAAGCAGATGAAGCCAAGTATCTTGGCATACATTTAGATCGCCGGCTAACATGGCGGAAACATATCTTCAGCAAAAGAAAATAATTGGGCCTGAAAATTCGGCAACTGTACTGGATAATCGGACGAAGATCACAACTATCTGTTAAAAGCAAACTCTTACTCTACAAGGCAATACTCAAACCTATATGGACGTATGGTATATCACTGTGGGGAACAGCTAGTAATTCAAACCTGGAAATACTACAACGATTTCAGAACAAGGTACTCAGGGAAATAGTTGATGCGTCCTGGTATGTGCCCAATACAGTGTTACATAAGGACTTGAGTGTATCTACAGTGCGAGAAGAAATTAAAAAGTGTAGTGCTAAGTACAGTCGGAGACTACAAGTACATCCAAACGAACTTGTAGCCTCACTACTAACCCATGAAGATGAAGTTAGGAGATTAAAAAGATTCAAACCGTCAGACCTATCTGATAGATTTAGCTAGTTTTAAGTGTATACATGCCACAAATCTTAAGGCATCTACTGGGATAGCCTCATTAACACTGCTAATGACATAATCACCACATCAGTCACCAAAAGTGCTCATTGTCCTTAATTGGACAGATTGTATGAATCTATCTAAAAAAAATAAAAAATAAATAAAAGGAAACGAGCAAATCGGAATTTGCCATTCGCATATTTTGAAACTGTTATACTGCAGTTTTGCCGTCTCTTAAACTTCCAAAGGTTCGCATAGAACTCATTCAGAAATGCAGCGTCAGCACCGAGCATCTCGACAAGCGCGTAAGGTAAATATTTCGAAATAATATATACTGACCGAATTGCGCCTTGCCATGTCCGCCCTCCCCTGACGCTTCACCGACGCGGGACGGCGCCTGCGTTACATAGCGTAGTAATCAATGTGGCGGACATCCATAGTCACCAGGAATATTAGTTCCAACAAGAAACAGTTCATGCTGATTGATATAATGTTCTCTGTGATTAGTGTGTGAGTTGGGCGTTTGAGACCCGGTTTGAAGTACTTTAAACTAACTCGTCAAGGTAAACATTCTCAGTCTCTTCTATCACTAAAGTCAATTGCGTGAAGTGTTTTTGTTGTGGTCACCTGAGTGGTGTTTTTTCATATAGGCCTGCTTGATTAGGTCTTCCTTCGCCAGTATGTTCCCAGTCTGTGTTTCGGAACAAAAGAAATAGAAACAATAAAAATGTTGCCACTTTAAAGAAGCAGAAGGATGTAACCAGTATCGAAGTATGCCCAAATTCTACATGCGTTTCATTTTTTGCACTTCGACATTTTGAATAAAATTGTGCCTCCATGATGTTAATCCTTACAAAAATCGGAATTATTCTACATTTTTTCGTGACATCTAATATAAAATTTCACCAAAGTACACCAGATAGTTCTAGAGCTGAAACATGCGGACATCCCTTATTTACATTCATTTTATGTACTCAGTGCAAAGAACACATATCACTAGAAGCTGAAATGACCTTCCAAATGGCTTTATAAATGAGATCAGGGATCTCCGAACAACTGATGGACCTCCCTAAACGTGCTCTCCATACGTTCATTTTCGTATATTATAAGACGCGGTTGGTAAAGTCGAATGACAAAAATGATGATTGTGAATGACAGATCTAGAATGAAAATTGACAAATGCAGAATGGAATGTTTTAACTGTTTAAAGCATAGTGGCAAATATAATTTGGCGTTAAGTGTCTAAATAGTTTGCCTGCAAAGTGCATTTGGTGGTTTGTTCGGTTAGGTTTTTGGAATAAACATAATCGACCTGATTACTGCAAAGGAGTTCTTTACCATCTCTTTTCATTGCTGTCTGAAGGGTTAAATTACGTACTATACAGGAGTTTGGCTGGAGAGACTGAGCAAAGCAATGGAAAAGTCACTAAGCATAGCCGGTACCTAGATGATGATTATTTTTTGTTGGACCGCCTCTGTGGTCTAGAGGTCAGAGTTCCTACCTACAGATCCAGAGGTTCCGGGTTCGATTCAAGGCGCTCAGATTTTCTGAGAAGTAGTGGATCTGGAACGGAATCCACTCAGTCTCGTGAGGATAATCGAGGAGCTATTTCAAGGAAATAGAAGCTCCGGTCTAGAAAACCGAGATTAACGACCGTGGGGATCCGTTGCACTGACCACGTGACACCTTCTATCCGCAAAAGTTGGAACTAACTTCGCCGACATGCAGCGGTCGCTCGGTCGGTATAGTTCGCTTGCGGACTAAAGGCCACGGAGTTTTTTTTTTTTTGCTATTAGGTAATTATTTTACATTTTATTAACTACTGAGTTTATATAGTGTGGAGTGAATATGGCAGTGCAGTATTTGTAAATAAAAGAGGCGTAGGAAGACGTAGTCCGCTTTCACATAGACCAATTGTGCAGCTACTAAAAACTTCCCAGGATTTTATGGAACCTGAAGGTTTATCACCATGTTCACAAGAACCCTCCACTGGTCCATATCTTGAGTCAGATGAATCCAATCCATACCATTCCATCCTATCTCTTTAAGATCAATTTTAAGATTGTTCACCCACCTACGTCTTGGTCTTCCCAGTGGTTCTTTCCTTCTGGATTTCCCACCAATATCCTATATGCATTCCTCTTCTCCACCATTCGTGCTACATGCACTGCCCATGTCATACTCCTTGACCAGATCATTCTAATTATACTCGGCGAAGAGTACAAGTTAGTGGAATTATTTTAAACGATGAATTTATAGGGATGTGAGAAGAAAAATATCTCAGGACAGAACACCTACGAACTGAATACAATGACTGGTTATTCGGCTGTGTTATGCAGGGTCGACAGGAACCTAACGCCAACCGACGCAACGAGATATTCCGCCGTCCCTTTCTAAGTTAATAACGGATCAACTTCCTCGAACTTTCCTAAATTTCTGTTACAATTAACAATTTCAATTCCAGTGGTTTCATATATATCACCTCCTTCAACACAATAAATAGAGTTATCCTGTGTGTATTGTGTTCTCACAATAAACAGCGATGTTTTCCTTAAACATCATTAACCGGCCTATCTTTGTAGAGGACAAATAATGTGTTATCTGTGATGTATGACAGCCTCTGTGGGCTAGTGGTGAGAGTTCCTGGCTACAGATCCAGAGGTCCCGGATTCGATTCCCGGCGATACCAGATTTTCTGAGAAGTAGTTGGTCTGGAACGGGATCCACTCAGCCTCGTGGGGACAACTGAGGAGCTATTTCAAGGAAATAGCAGCTCCGGTCTAGAAAACCGAGAATAACGGCCGAGGGATCCGTTGCGAACTACAGGCCACTGAGTTTTATTTAGATGGAACTCGGATCTTTGTAGGGTTAATAACACCAACTAAGAACTCACTGTAAAAGAAACCTTCCTTGGTGTCCCAATTCTTAGAAACATTGCTACGCGACGTGCTTATATTGCTGCCTGTTAATGGTCACGATATGAATAAACTATCGGTGAAAATTACTTTTCACTGAATAAAAAGTAATTATAAAATGTGCCGCTTGTGAAACCGTGTTGCCCTCATGAGGTCGGTTGGTTCCCCGGTGCTCTAGGGCCCACTCTAATTTTGTGTCTCTGTGGCTGCTTATAAGATTATGTAGGATCGAATGATATAAGACATGCACAGCAGGATTATTGCGAATGACGACTCGGGAATCGAGTGGGGGGAAGTTGTGGTAGCGCTCTGTTTTAAAACTCTATGCTGTTATTCGTACGCAGGGACAGAAGGGAACAATAGAAATATTTGGTCGGGTTTTCTGGCATTCATTGTTGTGTTGGTAATTTTGTTTAGCACTTAGAATTGTTCAGCGTACGGCAAGAGATTCTGAGAAATAAAATAAATATGGTATTTCAACTGCTTTTCACCAAAATGTTTAAAATTATGAATAGAAGGAAAAAATCTATCCTATTCGCATATATGACTCAACTCACATAACTGTGTGTTTGGTTGTCAACTTTGCAGGCGCTAATAAACCTGTGCGTAAACCCAATCCTACGGCTACTGCTGATATCACGGATCAAGGCTTTTGAATCACGATTAAATCTAAAGTTTGTTGAAGCAGACTAATTCAGTCCACATGACCGATCATAGTGCTGCGGTCTGGGAACCTCCAAACACTGGAAGTATTTGTGCAATTCTGTTAATTTTTCTTTCAATTGTAGTGGAGTGGGACTAACGCCCCTGTACTGCGGCCACTACTGGCCTATTATACCAGCCCTAGATGACAGGTGAGGGTGATTATGAAGCAATTGGTGGAATGAAGATTTGCAGGGGAAACCGAAGCACTCGGAGAAAACCTGCCTCAGCGCCACTTTGTCCACCACAAATCCTACTTGACCATACCCGGGATCGAACCCGGGCCGCCGCGGTGGGAAGCCAGCGACTAACCGCATTCTATTAAATTACTCACGCCATTCTGTTCTATCCTCTAGTTGCAGAGTGCTTGCCCTTAACCTTTCTGTGTAATTCTGCAGATATCGCTGCCTCTTAATTGTACTTCATTTAGTTTCCACATGTTGTACAGGCATGCGCATCTGGCAGTATATTTCATTAAGTGGCCTCGTAAAACACAGCTTGATCATCACTGCAATCAACTTCGACACCGCCCTCCGCTTAAATGTCAACATCGATTTATAATTCTACGTGGAAACTGGTTTTCGGCCCTCTTCTAAAATGAACTCGCTGCTGGTGCTATGGAATCGAGAATGTCTTTGTCAGTAATGACGTCCCTCGTTGGCGTGACGTTCTCAGGCTTTGAGTCCTTCTATGCAAGACTTCTGTAACAAGCTTGAGTGTAGGTCAGATGAGGCTGGGTTAGGTTGTTAGGACATGTGAATTTGGTTTGGGATTTTTGAATATTATATTGTATTATATTCTTCTTATCATCAATGTCCTCATTTATGGCAAAACAGCCCTTTTCGAGCCATATCTTTCCTCAGAATATTCTGTCAGGCGGTATCCGGTTTCCATTTCTTTGGATTTAGCAACGATAATTTCTTCACATAGCAAGATCGTCAGCCCTGGTTTCAACCCCCCTACCTGAGGGGCCAGGTCCCCGTATGTATATCCCCCAGGAACAGGGTGGCCCAGTTTTGCCTCCAGGCACCGGGTTCCCTTTTCGCCGTCTTTCACGACTCGCAGGGCTATGGCTGGGGGGACACGCGGTAGCGTAGTTGGTTTAGGCACTATGCTACAAGCCGGAAGGTCGCAGGTTCGATTCCCGATGAGGTAGATTTTTCAATTTACCTAATCCAGCCGAACTATGGCCCCGGTGTCAACTCAGCCTCTAAAAGAAATAAGTACCAGCAATTTTCCTGGGTGAAACGGCGGCCGGCGCGTAAGGCCGACAACCTTGCCGCCATCTGTGAGTCGATTGTCTAGAGAAAATGTGAGAACCTCGATGTCTCACAACCCTATGGGCCTTCACGACCTGTTACAGGGATAGCTTTACCTTTTACTATTTTTAGGGCTACGGTTGAGGTATTCCAACCCGCCTCCACAAGTGGTATTATGTTATATTATATTTTATTTATTTAACTTCTCTTAGAGGCTTGCGCTCCAGGCAGTATACCATCTCTGACCTCGGAATAAAGTATATGGCCATGGAGAGAGCGGGGTTCGCTCCCGGCATCAGTTTTTGCCCCGACGTCGATTTTTATCTTTTGTGGATTCGGTTTCTCCTTATCATTCTCAAAGGTATTGCAAAGTGCGATTTTGTATTCCAAAGCATATGGGTCTGTAACTGCGTCGTTGATCTGATCCAATTCTTTGAGTCCTATTGTGCATCCGTGTCTGAATGCATCTACGCATCATCGCATCTTGATAAATTAATCATATATTAACAATGGCGAATGTGACAAATGCCATAATTTTTCTGCACACAGATATGGACATAATGCGGAGTACTTCTTGAGAATCTAATAGCCTTTCAGCTAGTCAAGAAAACCCTTCCTCTTATGTAAAAGTAAGTAAGTAAGTAAAGCTATCCCTGTAACAGGCCATGAAGGCCCATAGGGTTGTGAGACGTTAAGAGTCCCACACTATCTAGACAATCGGCTCAAAGATGGCGGTAAGGTTGTCAGCCTTACGCGCCGGCCGCGCTTTACTCCCCAGGAAAATTATTTATTTAATTCTTTTTTTTTTTTGATATCCCATGTTTTATTGTGCAATCTGTAAAGATACATTTAGCAGAATGGTTTGAAAAGTGTCTACGATGTCATGGGGAGAGACACACAGTAGTGCCTCTCCGTGGAGTATGGATAGTCCTGTTGGGGCTGTAGGGAGTGTTCCTAAAGCTAACTTTTAATTCCTGGTACTCATTTCTGTTAGAGGCTGAGTGAACCCCAGGTCCATAGTGCGGCCGGAAGGATTAGGTTAATTGAAAAAAATCCAATGACCTCATCGGTATTTGAACCCGCAACCTTCCGAATTGTAGCATAGTGCCTTAACCACTACGCTACCTCTTGCCCCCTTTCTTTTATGTAACTTGGGAATAATTTGATATTCCGGTAGGGACGGGAGACTTGTGGACAGCTGAACCAAATGCGTTAAAAGGCAAAATGTGAGATACTAACCACTGTGTAATTTTTGTCACATTTAATAAAATTGATTTTAGCTTCTTACTTAAGGAAAGACACATTACAACAGTAACAATATGAATAACAGCAACAATAATAAAGAATATTAATGAAAAATGCAGCTTCCTCACTGTTTATAAATAAAGAAATGAGAAAAAAGGATATTTAATATTTACTTAAATCTTAAGCAAATACAATTCGAGCGTGGGGTTGAACCGGACTGGCTTAGGATACGGTCCAATTCAGAATTCCAGCCCGCGAATTCCATAGAAACAGCAATTCTTTTGACAAACCATCAGCTTTTAAAAAAATGTCCTGCTTCATGAACTTAAAAGCCAATAAATAATCTCTGAAGGAAAGAAATGCAGACGATGCTACAAATTGAACAAGGATTAAAAAAAAAAAAAGAACAATAATGGAGGAGGTCGCCCCACGAATTAGGTTGCGTCTACGTTATCCTGTAGTTGGTTCCGCCCCCTTTTGAACGTTTATATCAGCAACGAAAAGCAATATAAAAACAAAATTTTATTTCTCAACATTTAAATATTTTTATGAAATATTTATTTCAGAATGCTCTAATTCAACGCCGAGAAATTTCTGTAAAAAATGTTAAACATTATTATGTCAGGAGTAACGTGAAAGATAGGCATCCCATTTATTACCCTGTTACATAAAAACAAGAGAGAAGGAATGACAATGACGTCATTGCACGATGTTTCTCCAAATACAGAGTGGGGCGCAGAAACTTCCTTTTTGTGAAGACGCATTGTGATGGGAGGGAAGGTCGCAGAAAAGTTGGGATAGGCTCGCCGAACGCAGCAGTCGCGCAAGTTTCTGTCTAATACCCCTCAGTAGGAAACATGAGGTGGACGAGTGAGCAGCTTGCGTTTGCTGCCGAAGCATATTTTTCGAACAACCATTCTTACGTGACGGTGCAGCGTGCGTTCCGTACTCAGGAATTAAGCCCAGAGGTCCGGTTCCCGACCGGAAATCGATTCTTTTGTGGGTAGAGAACTTTAGGATAACCGGGAGTGTGGTGAAAAAATCATCAGGACGACAACGGACCGTTACGACGCCAGAAAATGTGGAGGCAGTTCGACCGTCGATTTTGAGATCTCCAAGACGCTCCGCTCGCAAATATGCAGTCGCCCTAGACATATCCAATTGTTCAATGCGCCGAATTCTTCACGAACATCTTCATTTCCATCCCTATAAGGTGGTTGTTTTGCAAGAATTGTCACCACGTGATTTCCAGAGCCGAATAACAGCGTGCGAATCGTTATTGGAAACTTTACCCCCTGACGCACTTGTTTTCTTTAGTGATGAGGCACATTTTCACCTATCCGGATATGTCAACAAGCAGAATATGCGCTATTGGAGTGGTAACAATTCCAGAGAGCTCCATGAGAGGCCACTTCACAGTGATAAGGTGACAGTATGGTGTGCGTTGTCGAGAGTTGGAGTTATTGGTCCTTATTTTTTTGAATAAGACAATCATGCAGTTACTGTCAATTTACAGCGGCATGTGGACATGATTAAAAACTTTTTCGAACCAGCTCTTGAAGAAATGCATCTAGGAAATGTCTGGTTCCAATAGGATGGTGCCAAGGCTCACACAGCCTGACCTTCGATGACAGTTTTGAGGGCAAAGTTCCTCGGACGGCTCATCTCGCTTCGAGGGGACATCCCGTGGCCAGCGCACTCACTGATCTAACGCCCTGTGAAATTTTTTTATGGGGATACCTCAAGGCAGAGGCTTTTTTAAACATCACCCCACAAACCTGCTTCAGCTGAAGAATGTTATTCGGCAGGAAGTAGCCCAAATTCCGGTGCACATGTTGGAACGTGCAGAGGGGAACTTCAGAAAACGGTTGCATCAGTGCATAGAGAACGGTGACCACCACCTTCAAGATATTTTGTTTAAAACTATATGATTTAAAACTTTAAAGTATGTTCTTTCATTAGCTAAACATAAATGTTGGCTATCAGCAATAATTTTTCTTTTTTCGCCTTCAAAAAAGGAAGTTTCTGCGCCCCACCGTGTACGATGGATTAAAATCGAAGTACATAAATGATGGAGTAGGGGGGCATATTGAAATCGTTACAACGAAAGTAAAAGGACATTTCGCAGGTAATTTAAAGACGTTATATCAACTGAAGATGTCATCAAACTCCGTTGAGATAAGACTATGATAATGAACTCTGAGCTGAAAATGGCTGCTCAAACGGCATACTAGTAGCTTTCGTGTTCAAACTCCTCTGAATTCACAGAGTCGGTCTGCATTTCGCAAACGTCCCGTATACTTAAGGTTTTGCGACCGTCTCATCCATCCTCTGAGGAACACTATTTTCTTAATGTGTATTTAGATAACATCAACAAAAAGGTAAATATTGCTGGAATACTATAACTAAGATGCAAAGAAGAATACCTAGAAATGATTGGGAAGGCGGTGACAATTGTCTACCTAAGGCGATAACGCAGAATTTCTTTGAAGGTAATAATATGACATGCGAAAAGCCTTAGTCAATGTAGCCAATGTCCCGACAGGAATTCGAAAAGTTTACTCTCAGGATGTCCAGACTGGCCCTGGGGTACCCAAGCTCCTATCCAATGGGTACCGGGACCTCTCTCCTCGAAGGTAAGGCCATGGGAGCGTGATGAAGCCCTGTTGTTTGCTTTACCCAGGGTAGATGATAAGAATGCATGTACTCCCTGACACTTCACTGCTGGCGTAGCTGTTACCTCCACTTAGAATTGTGTCAATATGTCTTCATTGAATCTTGATTTATACAGCGATGCTTTTCACCTAAGTAAGAAAATTTGTATGGTGAATTGAGGAGGGCTTAGAAGATAGCGGCCGTGACCTATTTTAAGGTTGGCTTGCCATCCAGGCAGTTGTCTATATGGACCGATGAGTATGATAGAAACCCCATATGTATAAGCGGTCAGATTTGAATTCGTGACCTCCAAAATACGGATAAAAAAGTCTAAAAATTCACGTGCGACGTTCGGTGGCATATTGTAAGACTGGAAAAGCCTGGGTAAGCCTTCAGAATCGAATTTTGAAGCAGAGAGCAGAAAGTTCCATACCGGTAAACAAGGTTCTGAGTGAAACAATTCACCTTGTAAGCTCATTAAAGGCGGTTGCTAAGGCTTCTATCGAACCTAGCTATAGGAAAGTAAGTGCCCCCGCTGCTGCTTTTCTAATGTAGCTGAACATGTGAAACTTTCACTGTGAGTACAATCTGATGCTGNACACTGAGTGCTGCGAACAAAGGACTTAAAATCACTTCGTACTACAGTTATTTTAATTTTTAATTTTTAATTTTTATTTGCCTTCATGAATTTACTTTTATAACCGAGATATTCTGAAAAAATATGACATTTATAGTTAAATTTAGTCTACCAGATCGCGGAAAGGGGCCCTATGAGGCTCGGGGTATCAGCCCCTTTCGCACAAATTTGTTTGCTTCGTTCCCACGCGTTCGAACTTCGCAATAATTCTTAAGGATTTAACAAAGATAGATCTGAGAACGCAGCACATTAACATATCTTCAGTCTATACGTTTGGGGCTACATCTTGGATCCAGCGCTTGGGAGATCACAGCGTAAGGAAGTCTAAGTTCTTGTATTACAAATTTGTCCTGCATTCTAATTCCAATATATGTTTTACACGTAGGCCTCCTTATATTCGAAATTAATGGGCTTCTGGATTTTGTCCATCATCCGGTATTCTCAGAACACAAGGTTTCGGAAATTGGATCTGTTTCTTAAGCCCTTTGTCCTTTAGAATACGGGACGATGCACAAGTCCACAAACCAAGTAATCACGAGTGTTATAAACCGTCGCCAGAAACTTTCAGAATCTGCCCATCCCAGAATTCTTAACTGACATCTATCAAGGAAAGATTCAGTTGACATTATTTCGTTACAGTGAATCACAGAACCTGAAAGAAGCTTCAATTTGATGGGGGTGTAGACAAACACTGGTCCCTTGATTCAGGGACCAGGCCGGGCAGCACTGTCATGAGGGACGGTGACATCCCCACAATCTTCAACCCGCGCCGATTTCGGACGCCTAGCGTAGTAGTCACAGGGGATGAACAGCCTCGAGGTAGTGTTCCCAACGGACCGTTCACTAGTTCCGCCCATCTGCAGCACACAGATTCCGGTAAGCACTGCTCAACTCATTGTTTTGTTCCTCAGGTTTCCAAACACTCAACAGGTTTCATAAAATTTGTTACTGAGGGCTTATGTTGAAAGTTGTTAATCTAATTTAATTTATGTTCATGTCCATTATGTATAACTATTAGATTTCGGACTGAACGAATGAGAAATCGCGGTCCTATTCTCGGCGGGAGTAAGAAATTTATCTCTTCTCCAAAACGCCCACATCGGCTCTGAAGCCTCCCCAGCCTCCCATTCAATAAGTACCAGGAATTATGTCCCAACAGGTAAAATACCTGCGGCGTGAATTTGGATATTTACCTCCAGCTATTGCCTAGGCTAAGAAAGAGTTGAGTTACACACACATTCTCCCATGCGCCTTAATGATGTGGTACTTAATTGAGCACAGGGGAAATATTTTTTTTCCTTGGCACTACAGCCCCACTGGGCCTAGGCCTACCTCCATGAACTCCCTTTCACTTCGGTTTACTAATCTTACACATTCGGTAGGACTCCTTGGGCGAGTGATCAGCTCGTCGCAAGGCTTCTACCTGTAGACAAACACAGAAAAACGCACACAAACATCCATGCCCTGAGTGGGATTCGAACCCACGATCTCGGCTTCCGAGCGAGCGAAGACAGTGCATGCCTTAGACCGCTCGGCTACCTTGACCGGCCAGGGGAAACATCACTCTTGCCTTTACCTTTACTTATCATATCGGTATCATACCTATCCTACGTACCATGAAAAAGAAACTTAAGTTTCTCGCTTTTTTCGAAAAGTGTCCATCGTTCAAAAAATGAACACTGCATAAATATAGACATAATTAATAACTACAACTTACAATTACACAGTGCTCTAGTAATAAATAAAATAAAGGTATAAATCTCATTGAGCCATGTACCTGAAACTCTATATGGACAGTATTCAACGAAACATAAGGATATGTTCTGACTGCACAGCGTGGTATCGTAGTGTGAATAGTACATCTGTATGCGAGTTAAAAGAACAGAAGGACCAATGGCTTGAAAAATCTCAAAGAATGAGTTTGGGAATAAGTTCTCTCCAAACTGAACACCTTTGCAATCTTGTCCGTTCAGTTTTAGAGTTACAGTTTCGCGAGTCTTGTCGCTTTTTCTTCTTCAGAAACAAACAAAAGAAGACCGGATACAATTAATGGAGGTCATTATACACATAACGAGTGTATGATCAATTATTTGTCAGGTTCTTAAATGATGTTTCGAGCAGGATATAAATGGACCTTCAGTCCTAGAGATACATTGCAGGTCAGGGCGAGAGCATTAGATTTGTTAGTATAAAGGAAATTATTATAGTGCAGGTTCGGAAATTCTTTCACACATATATCGTTGTTGGGAACAATAGTTGCATCGTCATAAAAGCACTGTAAACAGCTTCGTTAAAGAAGGGGAGAGGGTTGTCGAATTAATTAAATGGCGTATACTTGTGTCTGCCTCAGTTTTCTTTCCTGAATTCAACAGCAGTGGTTACACAACTCCAATAAGCTGGAAAGTTATCAATAACTGATAACTGCAGAAGAATTTGGAAAAAGACAGCATTGGGATATGAGAAGATATGACTATTCCGGCACTGGCCTGGAGGTTCTGTGGAAAACCACGTAAATATTTTCTCAATAGAGCCAATTCCCTGGGTGAGTGTCAAGCACTTTGAGCATATAAGCCCGATATGTCAACTTAGTTATAAGTATTGCATCGTCTCTCTGATGGGGCACGCGGTAGCGTAGTTGGTTGAGGCACTACGCTACAAGCTGGAAGGTCGCGGGTTCGGGTCCCAATGAGGCGGATTTTTTAATTGACGTCATCCTTCCAGCCGCACTATGGCCCTGTGCTCGACTCAATCTCTAAAAGAAATGAGTACCAGTAATCTTCATTGGGGGTAAAGAGCGGCTGGCGCGTAAGGCTGACAACCTTACCGCCATCTGTGAGTCCATTGTCTAGGTAATGTGGGAGCCTCGACGTCTTGACCTTCACGGCCTGTTATAGAGATAGCTTTACCTTACCTTTTACCTTTATCGTCTGTCTGATATCAGTTCATATCAATCGTAGCATGAACTGGAAATTCTATTTAAATATTACTCGTAATAAAAATGGTTTCAACCTAGGCCAACATTTACACATTTCACGCTTATAAAGAACATGGAAATGCGTTGCATTTAAAGCGACGACAAAATTTGTCGTTTGAATCACATTTACTTTTAGTCTACGTGAAAAGCTGAACCTGTATCCTAACTCCCTGGAGATGAGTCCTTCACGAAAAACTGTCCGTCGCTCAGCTACTCAGAATTTCGCAACATTTTATGTAATTCGAAGTCCATTATCGTGTTCACAAGAGCCCTCCACTGGTCCCTATTCTGAGTTAGATCAATTGAGTCCATATCACGCCATTCAATTTCTCTAACACTTATTTTAATATTATCCTCCCATCTAAGTCTAGGTCTTTCTAGTAATCTCTTGCCTTCTGGCTTTCCGATCAAGAACCTATATCTTACAACTGAAAATAAAAGGTTTTATTGTGGTCGTCTGGCTTATGACAGAACTAAAATAACTTCATGGAGCTGAGTCCTTCTTAACAAACCGCCAGTTGTGCACCTAATCAAAAACTTCCCAGCATTTTATGGAACCTGAAGGTTCATTGCCATGTTCACAGCAGCTGTCCACAGGTCCTTATCCTGAGTTAGATCAATCCAGTCCAAACCACCCCATTCTATATCTCCAAGATCAATTTTAATATGGCTACGGGCTGGAGAACCAAGTGGTCGAATTTCGAGTCCCGATGGAGGAATGAATTTTCATGTTTCCGTGCCGTCCAGACCGGCTCTGAGGCCCACGCATCCTCCCAGCCAATGGATACCAGGAGGGTACTTCCATAGGGGTAAAGCGGCCGAAGCGTGAAGCTGACCGTTCACCTCCAACTGGTGCCAAGGTCAAGAAAACACGGTTCTATACATCCATTCCCCCATAGGCCTCATGGCGTAGTGCTTAATTAGTTAAGCACAGGAACAACTTTACCTATATCATCATCCAAGTGTTCGACGATATAAGAGCATAACCTGGATTACTGGCAACGTCGTTAAAGGAATTGCAAATACAAAGACATGAAGCTTGAGACCGGGTCACTGTGTGCAGTTTCTGGGCTAGCGCTGGCTGAAATGTGATACCCAGTCACTATTTACACTTTCTGTATGAGCCTCCAGTCCTACAGTGTTTATATTAACTGTGGCCATGACCAGCCTTACGCATCTCCTGCAGTTTAACATGCCGGCCCAGAGCTACAAACAACACATGGACTGTCTCTTATGGGTAATTCGGAATGTCAACAAAACTACTTGGGGTAAAGGAAAAGGAAGAAAGATCACGTAAGCGGGTAACATTTACACGATGGAGGTTTCCCGACAGGAGGAAGGTAAGTGTGTGAACATGTAACATGATTTGCCTCTTTCTGAAAACAATTAAACGCAAAAAGATTTTCATTAGAACGGTTTCTCTTACTTAGACACTGAAAATATAAATGCACTTCACAGCTTACAATTGATAGGGTATGCTATATTCTGCAAAAATATCTTGCAAAGCAAGTATTCTACATAACCCTTCCACTGCTAGAAAATTTTACTACACAGAAATATTATTGTCCGTCAAAGACAGAACTGTTTGGCCAAATCTGTTGTTTCTAGAAATTTTACACTAAATCGAAAAGCCTAGGATCATCACCCAAGATGAATAACCAAGATATTATATTTTAAATTGGGAAAAATAAGACATTCCTTTATGTGGGGATGAAATATTGCACTATTAACGGTATTGTGATAACTGGATCTACGAGTAGCTACGAGACACTTGTATCACTCAGAAAGTCATAAAAAATCTAGTTGTCGCTCAGCTACTCAAGAAATTCCCCTCCTTTCGTGGAATTTGAAGGTTCGTTAATGAATTCACAAGATAATAAGGTGAATATAGGCCAAACTACAGAATCGTGAAATACTTCCTTTACTAACAGTGAAAGGGTTGACAATCGATTTTAATTGACACTTTCAGACTTGTATTGCACGGAACAAGTACGCCATTTTTATTTTTCATCGCACAGCAGCACCCGTGCTTTGTTGCACTCTGCCTAGCGTAAGCCTCACAGGTCCCCTTGTCAAAATATGAAAAATTTACTCTTCAAGATTTTATGAAAATGATAATGCATAAGAATCCAGCTAACTAACTAATTTACTTTTTTCACAAACTGCAACAGGTGTATACAAACAAGGAGGTACTCAATGAATAAGATACTCAGTACTGGGTGTTTTAGTTCAAACACTCGACATCAAACATAGAGAGAACTGCATGTAGGCGGCCTATGTCCGTCAGTCCGTAGGCTTGTTCTCAATTTAACGGACTTCAATAACATTTATTTGCGCTAAGCATCGTTAAGAAATGAGCCGTGATAGCGCAGTCGGTATAGCGACTGGCTACGGGCTGGGCGACCGAGAGGTCGGTGTTTGAGTTCAGGTGGGATTAGAACTTTCTCTTCTCCACGTCTTCCAGACCTGTTCTGGGGCCCACTCATCCTCCTATCAAATGGGTACCGGGGGTTCTTTCCCCTGGGGGCAAAGCGCCCGGGAGTGAAGCTGACCACTCACATCCAACTAGTGCCGAGGTCAAGAAAAAGTGGATATACATCCACTCCTCCATACGCATTAATGGCGTAGTGCTTAATTAATTGAGCACAGGGGCAACTTTCCCTTTAAACATCGTTAAAGAAATGTAATTGAGGTCCATATCGGCCCCATGTACCTACATTACACGAAGCTGAGACTGAACTCAGCACATTTTCTTGTCGTACTCAACATCAATAAACATAATAATATAAAATACAGCTTATTTAAATCTAAAACACTATTATCTCTCTTGTTTATTTAACGAAAGACCAGCTTGGCAACTAGAGCTGTAGATTAAATTTTATTTTGTCTCGGGACAAATGAT